GGACAGGAGCCGGCAGTGCGCCCGTGGTGCCAAGAAGGCGACCGGCATCCGGGGCTGCATCGGGAGCAGCGCTGCCAGCAGGTGGAGGGCAGCGATTCCCCTCTGTTCAGCACCGGGGAGGCCACATCTGGAGTGCTGCGTCCAGCTGTGGCCCCCACGACAGAAAGGACGTGGACACATTGGAGAGAGTCGGGTGGAGGGCAGTGAAAATGGTTGGGGGCTGGGGGACAGGACTGGGGAGGAGAGGCAGAGGGAAATGGGCTGATTGAGTCTGCAGAAGAGAAGACCGAGGGGGATTGAACAGCAGCCTTCACCTCCCTGCAGGGGGGCTGCAAAGAGGACGGAGCTGGGCTGGTCTCAGTGGGGCAGATGACAGGACAAGGAGCAATGGGCTCAAGCTGCAGCAAGGGAAGTTGAGGTTGGATATTAGGAAAAAAACTCTCTCACGAGGAGGGTGGTGAAGCACTGGAGCAGGTTACCCAGAGCGGGGGTGCAGTCTCCATCAAGACCCGGGTAGACAAAGCCTTGTCTGGGATGATGGAGTTGGGGCTGGTGCTGCTCTGAGCAGGGGGCTGGACTGGACGAGACTCCGGAGACAGACACCTCACAAGACGGAGACAGACGCCTGCTGCCGCTGGTGCCAATACTGTGATTTTCCGTTCCCAGCTGTTCTCATCTATCTCCTGCCTTCTCTTACTGGATGAAATAATGCCTGTCGATAACGATCGTTTATTTTTGCAATCTATACTGTATTTCCTGACTCCACAATGACTCTGACTGTAGGCTGACCACCCCGGATGGGCAGAGTCCATACATGGAAAATCAGAACATCCTGTGATTGTAGAGTTTGCTGTAAATTTCCACGCGTAGAATCAGATAATTGGAGGGCTGTCCTACATCTGTCTTCCACTGCGCAGGGGGGAGGCACGTACCCTGACCGCTGCCCTTTGCTCCCCCCACACTTGCCCCCATGCTTGCACCCTGACACCTGCCCCCACCCGATTCCCACCTGTGCTGCCGCCTGATGCGCTCAGCGCCGCTGTCCACCCCTGCCGCTGCCCAGTCCCCAGCACGCCGCTTCCTCATAATAAAAAACCAACAAGGAAATACCAACATGTAATGTTTAACATGCTTTAAACTGGAACCAAGGAGTCAAATCCTGAAGTGACGCCCCCCAGTCCTTGCATTCGGTCCTGTGCTGGTTGTGATGTATTAAAACAATCCAGATTTCTCTACGTGGGAGTTTCTGATGCTGTTCTGCACGTTTGACCCAGGTTACGGTCCGCAGGGAAAACCAGATGTTCCTTATCTGCGGCGTACAGGCTCTAGAGGGGGGTTACTTGGCAGGCTGCGTGGGTCAAGCAGAGACCTCCCAGGCGGCCTGATCCTGCTTCTTCATCAGGAATGGACCACTGGGAGTGGGGGCGTTGGACCGTGGGCCCAGGCGTCCACTGCTGTCCTAGACACCCAGGGGAGCCCAGGTGTCCAGGTGCTTTCTGCCCGCCCAGCGCGATGAGCAGGCACGTGCGGGTGGCCAACCGGGTGCAAGGCAGCCAGGAGTTGGACCCCATGTGTCGGCCCCTGCCCTGGGGCTCGGGGAGGGCTTGGGGCTGGGGCAGGGGGTGGGCAAAATGCGGCTCAGGGGCCGGATCCAGCTGCTTTTGTCCGGCTCAAGGTCCCCTCGGGGAACTGGTGGGAGCAGGCGGCTGGCTGGGGTCTGTGCGAGACCCCTGTGGCCCCATCTGCCCGGCAGAGCCCGTGGAGGGGGGGTGTCCACGCCTGATTTTCATGGAGACGCTGCTTGCATGGCCCCTGCTTGACCCGTGCATTGTTGCCTTCCCCCCTCCTTCCTCTTCCTGCACAAGCTCATTCCTGAGCGTCTCTGTGTTCCCACAGGGCGGGGGGAGAGCAACTTCCAACCACCCCCCACACCAGCCCAGCCCTGGCACCGGGGGTTTGACGACCTCTTGCCATCGGGCTCTCGAGCACCCAGGCGGTAGCGGACCTCCTCGCCAAGAAGGCCCATTTCATCCCCTGCCCTCAGACCACCACAGCCCCAGAGACCCCCCGACTGGTCCAGCTGCCTGGTCATCCCAGGGCGGCAGGAGGTTTTGGTTGCCCAGATTCAGGATGGTCAGGGGACAGCATACTCTCCAGTGGGCCGGGAGGGCTATGGCCCAAGAGGCGTCACAGGGCGGCTGTGCACCCGGGGCCATGGAAGTGCACAGGGCAGCAGCAGCTGGGGCCGATATTGTGCATCTCCCATTGCTGCCACCGCGTGCCTGCCTGGGGCCATTGCCCTTGCCTTTTGCTGCCATGAAAAGAGAGAAAGCATGTCAGGGAGGGCAGCCGCTTTGGGGAGGGACAGGGACTGGGTCATAAGGTCTGCATGGCTGGGACCCCGGCCTCCCACCATCTGGAACAGAGGTGGGGGTTGCTCAGGTCTCGGGCCCGGCCTGGGATCTCTTCCATCTACTCATTTTGCAAATGAGTTTGTAATGTTGGAGGATGTTTCTGCAGCCCTGAGGGCAAGGACCTTATGGAGGGAAGAAGTCCTTGGCTCCCAGCAGGGGAAGCTTCCCTCCCATCACCAGGGATCCCGGTTTTCTCTGTTTAAAAATCCAAAATTCTCAGATACAAGCCCCCAAATTCTCTCATTAAAAGTCAACCAGGACTTGTAGTAGAGATATCTTTTATTAGACCAACAAAATTTTTGCAAAAAAAAATTCTTTAATTGCAAGCTTTCTGGCACAAACACCCTCCATTAGGCATTGGAGAAAAGGTTGTAAAAGTTAAACATCCATTTTGTTTCCACGATTGAAGTGAGACCCCGCTATATAGATAGGGGGTCGGACTTGAAGATCTACCAGGTCCCTTCCGACCCGACTTCTATGATTCTTGCTGTTTTGATGCTATCTCTTTTTCATAGATGTCATAGACATTCGGGCTGGAAGGGACCTCGGAAGATCATCGAGTCCAGCCCCCCACCCAAAGGGCAGGAAGTCAGCAGAGGTCATAGGATCCCAGCAAGATAAGCATCCAGATGTCTTTTGAAGGTGTTCAATGTAGGTGCTTGAACCACCTCCGATGGCAGGCTGCTCCAGACCTT